TTCTAATCCAGTAGTTATCAACTGGAGGTTGTCCCGCCCCACCGGGACATTTGGCAATGTCTACAGATATTTCTGATTTTCATAACTAGAAGTTGGGGGGGGGGTGCTACTGTCCTCTAGTGGGCAAACATACTATAATGCACCAGATAGCCCTCCACAAAAAAGAATCATCTTGGTCCAAAAAGTCAAGCCAATTAATCAAGTCCCTAAATAAGACAAAGGAGATGACCCAACTTACAGAGCAAATTCTGACCACTGAAGGGGACACCAAAACAAAGTAAAAAAGAGTCTCTATCAAAACATTATTAGCAATAATAAGTCACTTCCTTGACTGAAGCTACATATCAAGGAAAGGGTATAAGCTAACTCTTTAAATGGTTCAGAGCTCTCCTTTTCCTAAAGTTTCACTTGGGAAACTTAATGCTCTCAAAATTTTACTGATATTCCCAAATAAAAGAAAATGGCAGGGATTCCTAAGTGGTACAAAACTTGCCCACCCACCAAATAAAACTCAAATGCTATTATGATCATTAAATCATCCCCAATGAGTTGAGAAAAACTGGTGGTTCTTAAACCCCTTGCTTTCTACATAAAACAGAATAAAATGGCTCCGTGCACACACTCTTCCACTTCCCACTGATCTACTCTAATCTTCAAGGTCCAGTTCAAGTCCAGCCCACACCAACCTCACTCTTCCAACTCCCAAGCTCTCACATGGCCATAAAACCAAAAGCTCCATAAGGGAAAGAATTTATACTTAACTATTTCTCTGTCTTTGTAACTAAAAACAACCAATACGGTAGATAGTTTCTAGAATCTGTTTTCTGGCTATACCTATCATAAGACAGGAATATTTAACTCTCCCACGGAAAGAAATGAGAAAACCCACAAACACCCAACGTTTTACCTCTTCTTCGCTTTCTTTATCTTCTTCATCTGAAGACTCTTCCTTGTTTTTCTTTTCATCTTCATCGCTGCTGGATTCATCTGACAGAATTTCAGGACATTTGGTTCGCTTAGCTTTCCTTGCCATTCCAGAACTGTTCCGTTCCTTTTTGTTGCCTTTGCTAGAAGTTTTCTTAGATTTTGGCAATGGCTGTGTACAATAAAGATAACAACAATGGGCTATTATATTTCCAAGTGAATCATTTTTGGTAACTACTTCTCAACTCAATTATTCTTCTTGTTCCATCTCAGGGGATATTGCCAAACTTAGCAGCTTTACAGACAACAATTCATCTTTAATGTATCAAGTAAATCTTTCTGTCTGAACTACCAATACCCCTTCATTTGTGTTATCACACCTAGGCAAGACTCTTTCCAAATGCTGAAACACATACTCTGTGTTCTGACTAGGATTAGATGCCCAAGTACACACTAGATTAAGCTCAGAGAGTTACTTACATGTGGTCAAGGGCAATATCTTGAGTTAGACTTACAATTCATTTCATTCCTTGTAAGCATTAATGGCCTTGCCAGAGGAACTTCTTGCTTTAGGGGATGCTCTAATCAAAGACTAGAACCATCCATAAAGGAAATAAAACCTCACTTTACACATCCTGAATTTATGAACTATATAGTTTGTATTCATATTACCTCTGGGCTCTACTTTTGCTAATGTCAGGTTTATATTCTCATTGACTCTAAATATGCAATTAGTGTTGGGTATGTTAATTATGAAACTAATTAAGAAACACAAAATACATGTACTGCTATTACTTTGATATTCAATTAAAGCATGCATATTTAAAAAGCAGAGACCATGTGAAGAAACAATTTGATCATATTAACCAGCAAATTTAATTCTTAAATGCTTTCTTAGGGGAGTATTTGCTAACTTCTGAAATTGAAAACCATAAAATCTTGCATAAAAGATCTGAAAATATATACACTGAGGAATTAAAATTATTTCCGAAATTATAGGTATCTACTATTTTTATTTTTTCCTGTTATTTTCTGCAATAAGCAGAAATTGTAAGGAAAATCCCACAACATAACCTTATGATATACAGTTATATAAATGTTAGTGGTAACTGTAGGCACTATCTTTCATGAAGTTGGCAGAACCGCAGGTTCTTTCTCTCCTAGAAACTTCCAGTCTAGGGGTCACTGTCACCTACACAAAAATTAAGAATAAGGTGGCTGTTTTGTGTATGTTCTGTTCTCGGGTTATGTACAATCCATAAGATAGCCTCTAGCTGCCCAAACAACCTATTCTTCCTAAAGGCTGACTGGCCTACAGCCAATCTACGTCAGTTCAGAAATTTTAAGTTAGTATGGGGTGATTATGTGTCTCAGTTGGTTAAGCATCTGACTTCGGCTCAGGTGCTGACAGCTCAGAGCCTAGAGCCTGCTTCAGATTCTGTGTCTCACTCTCTCTCTGCCTCTCCCCTAAATCACACACTCTCTCTCTCTCAAAAATAAATACACATTAAAAAAAATTAAAAAAAAAAATTAAGTTAGTAGACCATTGATATTTCTCAGAGGGGTTCTCTGTAAGTTTCTATAAAAAAACTTCCTTGGGGCGCCTGGGTGGCGCAGTCGGTTAAGCGTCCGACTTCAGCCAGGTCACGATCTCGCGGTCCGGGAGTTCGAGCCCCGCATCGGGCTCTGGGCTGATGGCTCAGAGCCTGGAGCCTGTTTCCGATTCTGTGTCTCCCTCTCTCTGCCCCTCGCCCGTTCATGCTCTGTCTCTCTCTGTCCCAAAAATAAATAAACGTTGAAAAAAAAAAATTTTTTTTAAAAAACTTCCTTGAACATATATGGATATCCTTGTTATGCAACCTGTTACAATTACCAGCTAGTACCAGGAACCAAATCCATTTGGATAAATTCTGGAGAAAAGGTGACTCTGATTGTCCAAACTCCCTATTCAATCAATATATGAAATCCAGGACTCAAATATATTAGAAAAGTGTGGTATCCCTTACTATCTCAGTTCAGGAACCGGATACAGGCAGTAAGAATATAATCTATATGAGGAATTAGTAAAGGAGAAGACTGGATGGGTGCAGGATAATCTACACAGGAAAGTGAAAGAATGTTAAACCGTTCAAGTAACCAATCAAGAAAATGCAACTTCCAAAGATAAATAAAGAAGCAGCAATATATAAATATTTTAGAGCCTTCCTGTACTGGTCCTAAAAACAGTTAAACCTTAACCAGAACCCAGTGTCAACAGCATCATCACTTGTTGGAAACAAAATCTGAAAAATAATCAAACTAGAAGTATAACAAAAAAAAGATAGTAAAACAATGTTAATTCAATAATTTTATTACTATGGGGACAAAAATTAGTTACTAATGAGTTTGTAGTGTTTTTCTTAAATGACAAAAACGTAGGTAGTACAGAAAATAACTTGAGATTGATATCAATAGATTAAGAAGTAATCATCACAGAAGCAGATATGAAAAGTGGATACAAGAGTTAGATTCCATAAGAAAGACTGAAAGAGTGGTTCTCAAAATACGGTTCATGGATCGTAGGGTTTCCTGAGACCCTTTTAGAAGCCCACAGTATCAAAATTATTTTCATGATAACATTAAGACATTATTTTCTCTCTTCACTGTGTTTTGTACTGACTGATATTTGTACTGACTGCAAAAGCAAAGATGGTTGTAAAATTGCTGGCACTTTAGTACGAATCAAGGCAGAGGCAGCAAACTGCTAGGAGTCATTATATTCCTCATAACCACACACTAGAAGTGAAAAGAAAAAGGTGTTTTAGAATGTCCTTGATGAATCAATAAATACTAGTGATGTTAACTCTCAACCTCTAAGTACGTGACTTTATGACATCTGGGTAACAAAATGGGAGGTACACCTCAAACACGTTTGCCACATACTGAACTTCACTGGTTTTCTCAAGAAAAAGCACTTGCACAATTGAGCTGGGAGCTGAGCCAGCCACCTTTTTCATGAAACACCATTTGTAAAAGAACCGTCAAAGTATGCCTTTTCAGACTTAGGTATTTAAAAGACATGTTCTCAAAATGAACGTGAGCCTGTCACTTTAAAGAAAATAACTGATGGTATTTATTGCCAATAATAAATTTCAAAACTTCATATGGAAAATTCACGTCCATAACCATGAACTTAACAGCCTCCTAATACCTAAAGGTTTTTCTGATGAGACAGTGATTTTATTAATTAATGACTTTTTGACAGTGTTTAATGGAAACGCGCCAACATTTGGAAGATCTGCACAATTGAAAAAATCAGTAATTTCCACCTGGTGAATGCAGGTTTCAGAGACCACATTACAACTAACCTTTAATAAACTACCACTGTGGAGTTCTGGTGGTCTATCAGAGAATATCCATAATTATGTAAAAGTTTTTAAAGACACTCTTTTTTTCTAACTACATACTGGGTAAGGCTGGATTTTCTTTACATACTTCAAGCAAAACAATGTGCGATAGATTGAAATCCAGAGCAAATAACAATATAGCGGTCTTTTAAGACAGACATGAAAAGACTTGGAAAAATATAAAACAATGCCATTCTTCTAGTTTTGTTGAAAGTATATTTTTCATATAATACATTACTTTTGTTAACATGTAGTGGGCTTACTGGTATTTAAAATTTTTTCAAAAAAATAAATAAAATTTTTTCAGTTTTACTTTATAACATAGTAAATATCAAAATAACCCACATAAGCAAAAGCTTCTGGAGTCCTCATTAATTTTTAAGAGGGTAATTGGGTCTTAAAACCAACACATTCAAAATCACTGATTAAAAGAATGTAAACATATCCCTCAAAACCTAAACAACTTCTGAATGGCTTCTGGGAAAATGGTATTCAATTTGTCACATGAAATTCTTAAGAAGTACAGTTCTGTCCATAGTAAAAGTTTAAAAAATAGGGAATCTCTCATTTTTAAGCAAACTCAAAACACATAAAAAAACCCCAAAACCAAATCAAAAAACCCCCATAGCCCTTGGATTTATAGCTATATGACAAAAATATTCTTTATCTGTCTTTCTCCAGCTAATGGTAAATCATACCAAGAGCAAATAAAACCAAAGTTCCAGAGCTATTTTCTGGTTCCTAATCCTTATGCCCTCTCCCCTCCCTCACCGATGGTTTTCCCCTGAACTCCTAGGTCCTCTAGAATTTTCCGCAATTTCTTTGCTAACAAAATGAGGAAGATTATGAAAATATTTACTGACAGACTTAAACTGAAAGTGCAAAGTCAGGTAAGGAATACTTTAATAGACATTTGAAGTCAGTAACGAGTCCTATGTTAAACAATTAAGGCAAACCTAATCTGAATTTTAGGAAGAGTGGGGGAAAGTATAAGGCCATTTTACTTCCAACCATTATTCCAGTGTCTAGAAAATACCCAGTTCTATATGCCCATCTTATCTTTCCTCATCTGGTTGAAGGTTGCATACGTTCCCCATCCAGCCTAACACCTCACCCTCAATTCAACCTGTTTCTGTTCTTCCAGTTCCTTCTAGATATAAAACCCTGAATACTTAGTTTGCATTTCTGTCCATTTGACATTAACTTAGTTAATAATTATTTTTCTTAATCTTCTATCTTCTGTATCTGATAAGAAGACAAATCTGTATGCCTCCTATGCTATTTCTATCATGAAACTGGTGCATGTTCTTTGAAAGCAGAAGACACTACTGAATGTTGAGAAGCAATGCTGCTAACAAACTAAACTCTTCCATAAAAAGAGAAAGGAAGGACAGACTATAACTGATTCATTACTGAAATAGTAAAAATTGGTCCTCACTTTGCCAGAAGGCTTTGGATGCATTAAGAAATTCAAGATCCTCTTCACCAGTTCGCTATTTACACCTGATCTCTCCAAATCAAGAACCTCGCAGATGCTCTTTAACATGGCATTTCTAAACCTAAAACAGAAAATGAAAGAAACCAAGTTTGTTATGTAGCAAAGTTTATAAACATTCTCCACAACATAAAGGCAATAGCTAACCACAATCACTCAGGTACAAACATTAAAAAAAGCATGGGGGCAGGGGGTAGGCGCCTGGGTGGCTCAGTCAGTCAAGTCAGACTTCAGCTCCCGTCATGATCTTATGGTTGTGGGTTCAAGACCCACCATCGGGCCCTGTGCTGACAGCTCAGAGCGTGGAGCCTGCTTCAGATTCTGTCTCCCTCTCTCTCTGTCTCTCACCCACTTATGCTCTCTCTCAAACACTAAAAAACAAACAAACAAACAAACAAACAAAAAAAAAAAGGGCATCCAACCCAGGGGCACCCGGGTGGCTCAGTTGGTTAAGCATCTGACTCTTGACTTCAGCTCAGGTCATGATCTCACAGTCCTGATATCTGCACTGACAGTACGGAGACTGCTTGGGATTCTCTCTCATTCTGTCTGCCCCTCCCATGCTCTCTATCAAAATAAATAAGTTAAAAATAAGTCCTTCCTTTAAAAAAAAAAAAGCATCTAATGTTTCTCTGAATATGGGAAGTACTTTCCAGAAAACAATAAAAAGCACTTTCCTAATAATCTTGATTAATGTATAAAATACAACCAGATAGGATTATTAATAAATTGAAAATACTATTTACCAGTTAAGCTTTTTAAATTAAAAAATAATTTTTTTTTAAACATTTCTATTTATTTTTGAGAAACAGAGAGAGACAGGGCACGAGCGGGGGGAGGGGCAGAGAGAGGAGACACAGAATCTGAAGCAGGTTCCAGGCTCCGAGCTGTCAGCACAGAGCCTGACATGGGGCTTGAACGACAAACTGTGAGATCATGACCTGAGCTGAAGTTAGATGCTTAACTGGCTGAGCCACCCAGGCACCCCTTTAAAGTTTATTTATTAAGAGACAGAGAGAATGAGCATGTGCTTGCAAGCAGGGGAGGGGCAGAGACAGAGAGAGGGAGAGGAGAGAGCCTCAAGTAGGCTCCAAGATACCAGTGCAGAACCCAACTCAGGGCTCAAACCCATGAACCAGGAGTTCATGACCTGAGATGAAATCAAGAGTTGGGACACTTAACCAAATGAGCCACCCAGGTGCCCCTACTAATTAAGTTTTAAAGGTAGTAAAGGAATAAACTAAGTCAATTCACTAGAAAATAACGTAAGAAGTTTTCAATACTATAAAATTCATGGACTTAATTTTTCTGGTTGGTGATTATAAGACCAGTGCTCTAACCCCTGAGCTATGGAGCCAAACATAGTTAGTGATTAAATACTAGATTTTCCCCTCAGCACTCCTACTGTGATGAAGGAACAATCATCTCTATTATTTACTATTTTTAAACTATAAAGGATTTAATAAACAAAAGCTCTTAAGAATATATCATCTTGGGGCGCCTGGGTGGCGCAGTCGGTTAAGCGTCCGACTTCAGCCAGGTCACGATCTCGCGGTCCGTGAGTTCGAGGCAGCGTCAGGCTCTGGGCTGATAACCAGAGCACCGGAGCCTGTTTCGCTTCTGTGTCTCCTCTCTCTCTGCCTCCGCCCCGTTCGCTCCTGTCTCTCTCTGTCCCAAAAATAAATAAACGTTTGAAAAAAAAAAAAAATTAAAAAAAAAAAAAAAGAACATATCATCTTGCTTGCATTGTGGTAAAGAACACGTTTTCATCAAATTGATTATTTTCAAAATAGTTTAAATGGTACCTACAAGTTGGGGGAACAGAAAGGCTGGCAGGAGATAAAGAAGGGTGGTGGATTTTTCACTCTATTCCCAAGGCTTGAATTTTGAACTGTCTGAATGACATATTTGCATATGCTTCTAAGAAACAGAAGCATTTTTTAATGTGAGTTTTCAATAATCTTAACAGTAACTACTTATGGGAAACTAATGAATATCCCAAGTTAACAAAGATCCCAAGATCTTAACAAAGAATGTTAAGATCTTGGCATTAAAAGCAAAAAATTAGCAGTCCACTAAAAATGTTTGGATGGTCTTATTTAAATGTTCAAAAATTAACTCAAAATACATTGATCAAAACACAACACATTGAAAAATAACTTACTTTTTCAACATTTCTTCCTTCTTTTTATATTGGACACTTCCTTTTTCAAATGGAAAGCCACTGAACTGACCCACATTCTTCTTTAATGAGGACACCTGAAAATGTTTCCTTTATTATTAATGCTATTTATTACCCAGTAATGTACATAAGAAAAATTCAAAGCCAACATTTGTATTTTCAAATCTGTTTCCCAGTTACAGTATTGGTTTATTCAACATTTCTTAACTCACAACGGAAAATAGTATTTGTCACTCAAATATTAACGTTATAAAAGGCTTAAAAATTTAATTCTTTAAAAATAACAATTTGAATTGAACAAATTTCCATCTGGGAATTTTTACTGACAATTAGAGAACTACAACTAAATGTTATCTGACAGTATTAGGGGATGTGGAAAGTCACTTCTTAAAAAAAGATCCTTTCCCCAAGTAATACACATTACTAGTAATATTTATTTCTTATATGAGAGAGTCATGGATTTTATTTTTTGAAAAGAACAGAAGACCTCCAATATCCAAAAGTTATACGATTTAACAGTAATGAGACTTGTGTAAATTAGATTGTAGTGAGATCAAATGAGATAACACACAAGATTCTAACATCAAACTTCATTTTGTCCTTGCAAAACCCAAAGTTTCCTCAATTATATGAAATAGATTTGTTTTAACAAATCCCCAAAGAATTACCACCCAATTTATCAGATATTTGCTCAAAATGAGATACAATTATACTTTATCATTTTTTCTGAATAGCTGGAAACCTTCCCAAAATAAATTTCTTCTAATACATTTAAAGATCACTAAAATCACCACAATTAAAAAAATTCAGTTTGGCATAAAAACTATACTACAAAGCCTGGATATTACAATCCTAACTGCTAATATCCAACTATGTATTCTGTGATAAATCATTTAATAAATGTGTGTTTCAGTTTGTTCATTTGTATGGTACAGAAACTGAACTAGTTGATTGCTGAAGTCCTTTCCAGAACTAAAATTATATGCTTCTATTGCACAAATACATAAATATGTTACTAGATTAAAGACATAAAAAAGGTCTTAACTGTGCCAGGTCTGTTGTAAAGTAGTTTATGTAGATTTCTAAGTTCATCCGTTTTCTTTTTACTCAGGAAGAAATGTATCCTTTCAATTTCACAAAGTTTCTGTCCTTTTCCTAGGAAAAAACACACCGTAATAATTAAAGTTAAGCACTATTATGTGTTAATAGATTTACAGTTATTTTAATGATGGTTATTTTTACAGCATAATTTATTTATAGCTTTTGCTCAACAGGGCAAACTAAATGAAATTATACCATTAATATATAACTACTTAGTAAACACTAAAAACTGAGCACTGCTGACCATAAGTTTGATGATATTTAAACATTTTTAGTGTCAAGTGAAAAGAACAGAATAAACTTACCTTGTGCAATTGTAAATGGCTCTCTCTGTAAGGAAGAGACTTGCATGGTCAATCTCTCCACTTTTTTCTTTTCCCTCTTGCCTTCCACGATCAGACTCTTTTCTAGAAATTAATTTAATACTTCTTAAATAACCAGAAGCTTAAAGAACATATTAATTTTATTGGATAAACATATAAGGAAAAACTGCAGAAATCTCTAATACTTTACTCTTCTCCTGAGCATGGTTTTGAGAAGCAAATGAGAGATGAAAAATAGTAAGTTAACATCACTGAAATCTTTTTTTTAGAGTAACATTTTATTCGCCTGGCAAGTCACAAAGGGATCCAGTTTAAAAAAAAAAAAAAATCAGAAAGCAAAAAACTTTTATTCAACTACAATTATTGCTAATGAAAGTCCAGTCACTTTGTGAACTATCACCAAGGCCGACTCTTTAATTAGACCTAATTCTGTTGATTGCAATTTAGTTTATGGTACATCATCAAATAGCTAGCTTGGGCTGAGATTATAAGAACTTCAAAAAACATACAAAGAAAGCAATAATTCAGCAAGCTGACGAAAGAAAAACAAGGACCTTAGCTAAGGCAGAGCAGCCTAATGTTGCTATAAATAGGGCAAAATCCTACAAGTTCACATTTACTGCAACTGACTGGGAGGACATTATTTTGTAGTTCAGTAAATGTTTATACCAGTAGTCATAAATCATTCTAAAAAAAGTTAAACTGTTTATGGTGTGGACTGCTTTAAAAAAAAAAAAGGCTAGAGGGGCACTTAGGTGGCTCAGTTGGTTAAGCGTCTGACTCTTGATTTTGGCTCAGGTCATAATCTCATGGTTCCTGGGATCGAACCCCAAGTAGGGCTCATCAGCAGAGGGCCTGCTTGCGATTCTCTCGCACCCTTTCTCTTTGTGCATGCATTCTCTCTCTCAAAATAAACATTAAAAAAAATGCATAAACATTTAAAAACATTAAAAAAGACATATAGACTTAAAAACTTAAACCTTTAAACTTAAATTTCTAAAATGATTTATACCCACTGACACAAATTCAGATAAAAAAGAGAACACTCTATCACTGAACGTCCTTTCATTCATTCAGCTGAATGCTTGTTTTGTGCAAAGCCTCACTAGATACTAAGGGGGGCGGGGGGAGATGAACAGATGATGAAGATACTGAATATCCTGAAAGACATCACGTCTACTGGTGGTGTTACAAATATACTCCAAGGAGTATATACAAATATATACAAATATACAAATATACTCCAAGGAGAAGGTGATACACACCTTAGGAAAGATACAAATAAAAGTTCTCCGAGTTGAACACAGTAATTATTTTTGGATTAAGGAAAAACGATCAAAACACTTGGAGGTGGCTTTGAAAGATTTGGAGACAGAAGGATTTGCACAGAAAAAATGAGTAAGGATAAAGGGATTCTGGCAGGTATATTCTGGCAATGGTGTGCAGAGGGAAGAAAACATACTCTAAAGCAATCCTGTTATCCTGCTGCTGAAACCCTGACTGACTTAAACCATTTTGCTTGCCTCTGATTACCATCTATGAGCTAATGGCTCTCCAGATCTGCATCCAGTCAAGAGCTTTCTAAGCTTCACATCAACTGTCAGAGCCGCCAGCGGACAGCTCCACTTCGTGTCCTCCAGGCACCTAACTTCAGTGCGCTCAAACAGAACTCCGAATCCTCTCCACACTTGCTCACCTTTGTGAATTAGGTTTTCCAGAAAATGGTAATATTGTCAGCTCAGCTGCCAAAGACACAAACCTCAGAGTCATCTTTTATACTAGCCCCTCCCCACCCAAGTCAAGTCCACCCTTCTTTGGCAGACTTCGCTGTCCTGTTTCTGAGATGCCCCAGGAGTACAATAAAATTTTCAGGGCTAACTGGGATAAAAACCTTCACAATTTTAGTTGCTCCACAAACACGTCAAAGGAAGGAAACAGAATAATCAATTAGAACAACTACAGAATTCCTTGGGGGTAATTCTGGAGAAAAAAAAAAATCGCACTCTGAACGATCATCTGGCCCCTAAGCATTACTGTATCAACCACAGGTAGTATTTTTACATGATTTCTATAATTTTTTTCCTGACAGAGGAATCCATCATCCCTGTGGTATAGAAACTTGGTCTTTAAAAAGAGACTAAACAACAAACAAAAAATCGGAGGTAAAAACACTCAGAAAATTTTGGACTAATAGTTGAGATACTGCAGCCAATTTTTAGTTATTGTATTGTGAATAACTTAAAAATAATTTATAATTTTCTCCAACCGCTTCAGTACTTAAATGTGGAAATGCTCCGATCTCAGAGCACCTACCACTTCTAACAAACAAAAAGGCATGCCGTGTAATATCAACCCAGATCGTAGATATAAAATGCTGACCTGGGGCTGGTTGAGGCTTAAAAGAAATGGGACACTTAAACCCGGGTTTGGAAAGAACACTTCAAACTTCTTCCCAAGTTTGGCTGGAGCCACATATTAAACAAACCTGGATTGGCCTAATATCATCAAAGGACGCTAAGAGAACTGTGATACAGATTTTTTTAAGTGACTGGAAAACCTTTTAGGAACCTGGCATACCCGGAAGTGGTAGTGCCCCGTGCATGATGGAGAAAGTGATGCTCTATCAGTCCCGCATCCGGTAAGGTCCTCCTGCTTCAGGCCTCCAGGCAAATAATGGTTAATAGTGCACTCCTGCAACTCCAAAACTGAGACCAGTTTCGGAGCTCTTTCACAGTTCACCGCTTTCCTATTTAACTACTTTCTCGAGCAGCAACAGCTTTCACTGGTGTTTCCCCGTGAGAGTGAACTCCCCCAAGCCTCTGCAAAGGGCCTCTGCTGAAGTTCAGCAGATGCATGAAAAGTTGTCAAAATATCTCCAGGACTAGCATGAATAACGTCTTCACTTCTGCATGTGTGGTTTCAGGAAAGACCTCGCAAGAACTTCAAAAGGCAAAACACCTGTACTTAAATTAGAAGATGAAATTAAAAACAGCAACCCTAGCGACTTCAAAAGCCAACAAACAAGTCTTAAAAACAGATCTGAAACTTAGAAACGTCCTGTCAAATGACGAAAACGTTACGAACGCAGATTGCTGGCCACAAGTCAACCGCAACTCCCAAATGCGTAAATAACAACGCTAACAGCTATTTTCCACCAACCGGAATTCACCAATTCTCTGCCACTGCTCAACACCAAAAAGGGATAAATCTCGCCAACATTCTCGCCAGAGATCCCTCCGATTCAGCGTCTCCAGGCGCAAAAAAAGGAGGCAAGAAAACGGTTTTCTGTGAAATCCATCACCAGAGACGCGACTTTCTCCCACCTTTTTCTTCCTCCTCCTCCTCTTCCTCCTCCTCGTCGTCCTCGTCCTCCTCTTCACTTTCCTCTCTCGGGCCGGGCATTTCGGGCTCTTTCTCGGACGCGGGCTGGGCGGGGGTTCCCTCTCCCTCTGCAGCTGGGCCCGAGGAGGACATGCTGTCGACCTGCGG